CTTCTCTTAGGTTCTTATTCTTCGTCTTTAAACCGGGCAGACTTCAAAACAAATAATGCTTTCAAAACGTAGGTCGGTCCTTAGCTATTTCTGACATAAGAGGGTAACTGTCCACATGGTATTGTCATCAGACCATGTTTATCTTCCTATCTTTGAGTGTAGGGAACATGCTCCTAACCTTGTCCCTTTGCAGAGCTCTAGTTTTTCAACCCTGGCAATTTTAAGATAGGTGGACTTCAACTCCCAGAGTTCCTCAGAAACCAAAACTGCTGAGATAAAGAAACACTGCTATAGACTATAACTGCAATGGGATCAGTGGTGGGTTGCTCCTGGTTGGGTCCAGTTCTATAGAACCAGTAGTAAAACCGGCGGGAGGCTCCGCCCACCCACCACGATGTCATCATGAGTGATCTGTGCATGCACAGAAACTTCTGTGCATGTGCAGAAGCACATATGCCTGCTCCCACTATGAACCAGTAGTAAAGGTAAGTGGAACCCACCCCTGAGTGGGATGGAAAGGTTGATGAAGATAATGGAACTTGCTAAGGTAACTAAATTGACATAGAATAGAATAGAATAGAATAGAATAGAATAGAATAGAATAGAATAGAATAGAATAGAATAGAATAGGGATAGGGTAGGGTAGGGTAGGGTAGGGTAGGGTAGGGTAGGGTAGGGTAGGGTAGGGTAGGGTAGAATAGAATAGAATAGAATAGAATAGAATAGAATAGAATAGAATAGAATAGAATAGAATAGAATAGAATAGCAGGAAACCCTACACCACTTCAGACAAATGGTTATCCAATATCTTCTTAAAACGTCTTTGATTTAAAAAAAAAAACAGTAGGTTTATTACATACTGGAAACTCTTTATGGACCTTTTGCATAGAACAGGAAAAAAAATGAACATGATTTATGGTTCTGATGATTAGACAGGACAAGTGATAAAAAGAAAGGAATTATGTTGTTATGTTGTAACCATAGACTAAGGGGTAAATTTGTAATTGTGCTTACGACTGCTGCAAGAAAGATCGGAAACTACTACTTAGTATCATTTTTTTTTCTATTTTTCTTTTATTTCTGTTACTTTTTTCCACTTAGCTTTCTCCTTGTTTTCTTTCTCTTTTTCTTACTTTATATTAGTTTGTATTAGCATTTATTTTCCTTTTTAAAAAAATATTCAATAACATTATATAAAAATAGAAGGTAAATTAGGCAGTTTTGCATCTCTGCCAAAATTTGAACTAAAAAGTGACACAAATTTAGATTGAGAATATAATCAGTCATTATTTGTGCTTGGTTGTTTTGGTTCCACTCAAAATATTGTATCCAAATAAAGAGAGGGAGCATCTTTTATTTTTGCTTTTTTAAAAAAGAAACAACATATGTTGTTTGGCAGCCAGAGCTTTCCCTTTTATGAGATGCTCGTCTTGTTAGTTTCATAAATTCATTTCGTTTATCAGAAATTAAACCTGGGTATTTTCTGGTTTTGAAATTTGAATGTTGTAGTCCTGATTTCTTTTTCTTTTTCCCACGTTTTATTTGTTTTATTTATATAACATTCAATTTTCATCAAACAGTGTGTGTTACACATCTATGTTGTGATAATTCATCTCCATCATATTAATAATATGATATAATAATACAATAACATTACTGTATTTTTTGGAGTATAAGATGCACCTTTTTTCCCCTAAAAGGGGGTGAAAATTTAGATGTATCTTATACACCGAATGTAGCCCCGCCCACCCACTGGCCCCCACCCTTTGGCCTCTGCCTCCCAGCAGTTTACCTCCTTGCAGCAAGCAGCAAGAAGAAACAGCTCCTTTCAGCTTTAGCACAGCCTAATTAGCACAAGTTGATTGGATCGGCCTCCCGACTCTCAGCTGTTTTGCTCTCAGCTGTTTTGCGCTGGCCTCTGCTGCTTGCTGCAAAGAGGTAAATTGCTGGGAGCAGATTTTTTCCCCCTTGTGCTAATCAAGCTATGCTGAAAACAAAAATGAAAGTAAAGCAGGCAATTTGCTGTTTGCTGCAACGAGGCAAAATTGCTGGGAGGCAGAGGCAGATTTCTTTTTCTTCTTTTCCTCATCAAAAAAGGTAGGTGTGTCTTATACTCCGAAAAATACGGTAATACTTAACACTTAACATCATCTTTAACAACTCTCCACTTTACCATTTCCTCTTTTTATATCTCCTCCTTTCTAAGTTCTGTTTCTGTTATCTAGCCATTGATAGAATATGTCCCATATCAAAAAATATTCGGTTTCTTCTTTATCCTTAATAGTAAGTGTTACTCTATCCAGTCCTGATTTCTTATAAGACATTTTGGGGGTTGGCCAAGAAAGTCAGATTATATGGTTGCAGTTTCTTAGGCTCCAGTACCCCAATTTCCACAAGATGGTGCTAGAAATATTCCTACCTCCATTTCTTTGAGGTTTTTAAAGAACTTGCTGAACGTGAGTCACGATTCCTTTTCAACACCGCACATAAGCTCACACCATTTGCAACAGCAACGTTTTTAAATTCCAAGTTATAAGAATTGTGCATAGAGCTTTTTTTTGTTTGTTTGTTTTTGTTTTTGTTTTTTTGCACAAGTGGAAACCTGATGTTCCATAGTTCCATTGTTTCTGGATTGACACTGACCAAAAAAAAAAGATGTTGAGACCAGAGTGATATCCAATTTTTTCCCTACCGGTTCTGTGGGCGTGGCTTGGTGGGTGTGGCAAGGGAAGGATATTGCAAAATCTCCATTCCCACCCCACTCTGGGGCCAGCCAGAGGTAGTATGTTCCAGTTCTCCGAACTACTCAAAATTTCCGCTACCGGTTCTCCAGAATCTATTAGAACCTGCTGAATTTCACCCCTGGTTGAGACTCTAGAAAGAGTGCAGAGAAGACCAACAAAGGTGATTAAGGGACTGGAGGATAAAACATATGAAGAACGGTTGCAGGAACTGGGTATGTCTAGTTTAATGAAAAGAAGGACTAGGGGAGACATGATAGCAGTCTTCCAATATCTCAGGGGCTGCCACAAAGAAGAGGGAGTCAAGCTGTTCTCCAAAGCCCCTGACAAGAAGCAATGGGTGGAAACTAACCAAGGAGAGAAGCAACCTAGAAGTAAGGAGGAATTTCCTGACAGTGAGAACAATTAACCAGTGGAACAACTTGCCTCCAGAAGCTGTAAATGCTCCAACACTGGAAGTTTTTAAGAAAATATTGGATAACCATTTGTCTGAAGGGGTGTAGGGTTTCCTGCCTAAGCAGGGGATTGGACTAGAAGACCTTCAAGGTCCCTTCCAACTCTGTTATTCTATTCTATTCTATTCCTATCCTATCCTATCCTATCCTATCCTATCCTATCCTATCCTATCCTATCCCCTTTATTCTATTCTATTCTATTCTATTCTATTCTATTCTATTCTATTCTACTCTACTCTACTCACTCTACTCTACTCTACTCTACTCTACTCTACTCTACTCTACTCTATTCTATATGCTTGAAACTCCAAAAAAAAAAAAGTGGTGTTATTAGCCATCAAACATCAAAAATACACTTTTCACAAAAGGTTTCCACAATTTTGGCCACTACTGTATAGGAGAACAACGGTCTGCTTTGCTAATTATACAATTTTCCCATTTCTTGCTTGTAGTCCACAAGCCTGCAGCCGGATGTGTATCAGAAAAGATGCCTCCTTCCAGCACCTTTGCAAGTATCAAATCTTTAGCTGCTGCTGTTTCCCAGATTGCTTTCAGACAGACATCCCAAGCCATGCAAGTTACCAAGGACATAGGAGTGAAGCTGGCTATGTGGATCTCCTATTTGGTGAGTGCCATAGCTTTGGGTTGACAAATTTGCATTTGTTTTTGAACCAAGAAGTACCTTAGCAGTGTAGCAAACGACTATTTATTTATCAAATTTATATAGCTGCCCATTTCATGAGAAATAACTCCGGGTGGCATATATGTTCAATTGATACTTTTTTAAAAAAAAAAAGAAGTAAGAAAAGAAAATTTTCTTCAGATCTTTTTCCAAGATCTGTTGCTGTTCCGGGGACACAGAATATAGAGACTGGAAGGGTGTCTAGGTTGTTCAGTCAGTTGGAGAGTGGAATGAGAATTTTTCAGAACGTCAGGTAGATTCAGTGGTGGGATTCAAATAATTTAACCGGTTCTCTGTCCTAATGACTGGCTGGGTGGGAGTGGCCATGGTGGGCGTGGCCAGAGGGTGTGACAAGCAGCACTTGGCCTCCTGCACCCCCCTGGGAGCAAAAACAGGACATGGAGGGACATACCACCCCCTTCCCGTGCCCTGTTTTGGGCCTAATAGGCCTCCCTGCAGCCTCCTGGGAGCAAAAACGGGACATGGGGGGCATGCTGCACCCACCCTCCCGTGTCCCGTTTTGAGCCTAGTAGACCCTGCACTTACCTGGGAGCCAAAATGGGGTGCGTGGGGACTCCTGGAAGGGGCGGGGAGGGAAGGGGAGGGACGGGACCAGCCAGCAATTTAACTACCGGTTTCCCCCGAACCGGCTGAATCCCACCACTGGATAGATTACTGTGCAAATTGAAAGAGCATGTCACACCTTGGCTGCAGGAGCTACCTTTTGCTTCCAGGTTCAATTCAAGGGGTTGGTCAAAGTCTTACATGGCACGGGGACAAGTTACCTTGGAAACCATTTTATCCTTAATATGTCAGCCAGGGGTGAAATGCTACCAGTTTGGGCCAGCTCGCCCGAACCGGTAGTAAAAAATGCTACTGGTTCGCCGAACCGGTAGTAAAAAAATGTAAAAAAGTTTTGCCAATCAGTATGGAGCTCATTGAGCAGGATGCAACCCTGGGGCTAATTGACATCTTGATAACCTTCCCCTCACCTTTTAACTTGTAACATATTTTATTCTTGTTTTTAACTGGCTCTTTTTTGAGGTACTGTATTTTATATTGGTTTTAGATTTTTATAGGATAGGATAGGATAGGATAGGATAGGATAGGATAGGATAGGAT